CATAGGTGCATAGTCTTGGTGGGGACTTGAGTATGAACCCTCGGCCCAAGTTGCTGAGGATGTTCCATCATGAAATGTACTTGGCCGTTGTTCATACTGAAAGTTGGGGCGGAGATTGTATTGGAAACTCGACCGCGGATCATACTGGCTTCCGAGCGTGGGATCGTAGTGAGTACTCCCCCCCTTCACCGCTACACACCTCCAAAGGAGTAGGCGCCTTCCACGCCGCAATCGGCTTGATCTCCGGCACGTGAGGTCGATCCCTTGTAGCTTTGTTTGGCCTTCTATGGACCGGCGGAGGTACCGAATCAACATCCTGCACAACCGGCGGCGGTCTCACTGGGGGAACTGGAGGGTATCTATGATGGTCACGTCCGCGCGCTCGCATACAACCAAGGAGATTGTTCGCTATCCTACGAATGAGCCCCACCTCTCGACCCGCCGCCAAATGATCTGCCGTCCGCGCGAGGTCGTGGATTCGCTCGACGCCATCAACCTAAATCAAAGAAAATAACAAAGTTAGCCATTTAAAAAATAATGCACCGCATGACTAAATAAATAAAAATAATAATTACTTACCAAAGCTCCGCCCGCCGCTCCTTCGGGGGTGATGTAACGAACAGATTGTCGACGGTAGGTTTCCAGGTATGGGTCATGGTAGCCCATCCGCCCCACATGAGATGTCGTCACAATATCCAGATCTTGCCTAACATTCCACAGGCGGATCAAGTTTCCATACTCCTCCGGCCAATTAGTAGGTCCCTGTCGACCATATTTCCCGTGGTATCCCTTCTGACTCTCCGGGACATCCAATGGTATGCATTGCTCACGCCCAAATTGTCGCAGACATCGATCCGGCAAGTGCCACTCCACGGTATGCATTGCTCACGTCCAAATTGTCGTAGGGGATGGTCGGGACCCCATTCCTTGTCGGGTTCAACCTTCGGCGCAATCCATGGCAAATGCTCCCAAGCCCAAAATTGGACGATGAACATGGCCCCATCAATCTCCTTCACCGCTCTCGCACTAGCATTACATAGGGATCGGTAGAGATGAGCTAAGCAAGCAGATGCACAGCTCAGGTTTCCCATGTCATCCCAATCACCAAGTATGATCTTCAACCATGAATTGCTGATTAGGTTGTTGGATTTCTTGGGGAAGAAAACTCCTCCGATCATGCCGAGGATGTAGATACGTGCATAAATTTCTTTATCACGCTCCGAACTTTCCTCCATGAGGGGAATGCCTCCGAACTCAGGGTTGTGCTTACGCCTGATCTCTGCTGTCAACCACGTGATGGATACTTGGCCCTTGGATAATGGTGGATGACCATCCGCATCGTGATCTCCCTTCTCTGGCGGACACAATCCGGTGACCGTCCATATAAAATGTTGCCAACCACTCATATTGGCAACAACTTTAGGTGGTGGCGTAGAGTCCACACAAACAACATCACCATCGATGGGGAGATCGGTTAGGATGGCGATGTCCTTAAGTGTGATGGTGCACTCGCCTTCACGAAAATTGAAGCAGTGTGTCTCCTTTCGCCATCTCTCTACCATCGCCGTGATGAGTTGGCGGTCGATCTTGATCCCGTTGAAATGCCGAATCGAATCCAATCTTGCCCTTTTTAGAAAGGGCAAGATGACGTCGTTCCATTCAAGCACATTTGTTGTGCCCCTATAGCGGACTATATGGTATGCATCCTAGAGAAGAATTTAAATTTCATTATAAGTTGATGATTTATACATATATAAATATATTATAAGATACAATTTATATATAAATCAAGGTTGTTTTAGAGAAATATACATTATCTAATAAACATTTATTTTAACATAACTAAAATAATTTAGGGGTAAAAACCGCGCCTCGGGGGGAGCGGTTTTCGTGGGCGATGCGGATCGCTGAGTTGGCACGCGTTTTAGCCGTCAGATCGCTCCTCCGACGGGCGGTTTGATGCAACGCCACGTGGCAACGCGGGTTGACAGCCATGCAAGGTCAAACCGCACCTTGGGGGCGCGTTTTGCTCTATAACCGCCGCCTGGAGACGCGGTTTCATTAAAAACCGCTCATTAAATGCGCGGTTTTAAATAAAGGATGGTATTTTTGGAAATTATTTGGAGTGGGTGGTATTTTTGTAATTTTTTTTTAAACAGTGGTAGTTTTGGATTTTTTCCGAAAATTCTGCTCAATACCTTGTAATCAAGAAAAATGTAAATTTATTCCCAAGTAATTCATTCCTATTGTTATCTTTATTTATCATTTTTTATTTTGCTTGAAATGTTCCAACCTGTAAAATACAACTCTTATGTATTCTACTGTTTTTATTAGACCATGATGATAACTAGAAGATCATAAACTGAGGACATAAGTACTAAAAATAGGAAAGAATTGAAACACATGCAATGAAATCTTGTAGGGCGTGGAATTATTGGGCACCGATTTCCTAAGCTGGTTCCAAGTTCATGCTTCTGAACCTTTCTGTTAAAAAATAGAATACTAACTTTGTGAAAACTCTGGGGCGTGGAGTCACTTTCTCCTTTTGTGTGATTCACTTTGTTGTGTGTACAAAGCTAAGGCCTTTCATTTTCTCTGTTGGGAAAATAATCACAGGAGAGTAATCGAAAGAAGTAAAAGAAGAAGAAAAGATGGTTTGGGGGTGAGGAAGGGAGGCGTCGGATCAGGGAGGCCGACTTGCAGAGGTGACGAGCAGGCGACGCCTGCTTCTTCTATTTGAGCGGCAGTGGATTTGGATTGTGGTGGAGAAGGGAATACGGATTGTTTGGTTAGCGTTTAGAATTGAAATTGAGTTGAGTGGTAAATATGTCAATTTATTGTATTTTAAAGCGATAAAATTTTAATTCTAGGAGATGAATAGTGATTCAGCCTAACAATTTACTAGCGTGGCCCCGGCCATTTGGTCAGAGGAAGGTGAGGTATGAAATGATAATGTAATGGGGTGTATAGCTTATTGTTGTATAGTTTTTTTTTTTTTTTGGAAACACGTGATAAAAATAGTGAATTTTAGTAGGAAAGAGACATGAATGATGCAACGAATCAAAAATCAGCCTTATGAACCAAAATCAAGTACATGTTACCTTGTGAAACAATATTGTTTCTGGTAATATGATGAGGTGGAGTAAGTTTTATATAAACCGAATTCCAGAAAATCGAATAAAATATCGGGAAATCAGTATCTCACAATCGTTGCTAGCTTTTACTCGGCCCGTTGGCCGATTAATTTGCTTTATAAAACTTTCATCTTCACATCATTGTGCTTTCTGGTTTTTTTCCAAGTCATGATAAAATCTAAAGAAATCAAGAATGAACAACACGATTTGGGATAGGAACCACCGTTTCTGTATCCCAAGAAAATGGTGGTAAACACGGACTCACCTGCCAAACTGGTTTGGATTGAGATTTTTATCGTGTATCAGGGAACCATGTGAATATAAATTAGACTTGATCAAAACGAGCCAAAACTTGAAATTCAGCATGTTTGACCGACCCATGCCAAACTCTAATTATTCTTTACTTTTAAACTTTCTATTTGAAAATAAAAAATAATGAAAGAAAAGAGATGACTGCAATTCGTCATTTGCACGTCACTGATTCGGGAATAAAACTATAGAATTTCGAAAGGAAATTGAAAATGTTTAGGATCGTTATTATTTTAAAAATAACCAAATAGATCTTTCTGTTTAGTTTTTTACTAACAAATATCAAACGATTCCCTATAATATACACTATAATTTAATCATTATGATATCAAATAATTACATAATATATATGTAAAATGATAAAAATTGGACTAATTGGGTTGGTCGAGGTTGAACCATTAAATAACTTTAAAATATATTATATTTTAGCCACTAAGATATGAAATAATAGCATAATATACTAGAGAAAATAGCTTGTTTTAGAATGGCAAACCCATGATGTTTATTTATTTTACTTGATGGGCAAATCCCGTGTAGGCCAAGCCCATTCAACTCTTTTACTTTATGATTAGCGGTTAGCCCATTAAAATTCATGCATTAGTTTATTGTTAATTTTTTTTTTCTTTTTAGCCATAAAAAGGAGTATTGTTTTTGCATTTTCATATATATTTTACCACCACGGAGAAATAAAAAGACTTAAAAAAAATTGACACTCCTGGACCCGTTTAAATCCGCATGTGTACGGTAAGTTGGCCCATTCCACAGAGGAAAAAGAAAAAAATTGACACTCCCTATTCTACCCTTCCTACAAACGCTCCTGGAGCAGGGAATTTGAAATGGGGGAAGGGTTTTTTCCTCTCTGCGATTATATGTTTTTACTTTAAAAAGATACAACAAATATACTTAGTGTGATTGGTTATGATCTTTGCTTCTCTGCAATTATATGTTTTTACTCTAAAAAGATACAACAAATATACTTAGTGTGATTGGTTATGATCTTTGCTTCTCTGCGATTATATGTTTTTACTTTAAAAAGATACAACAAATATACTTAGTGTGATTGGCTATAATCTTTGCTTTTCTTTAAAGTGGTCATGGTTTGAATCCTAGTAAGTGTCTTTTTAATGAATAAAAAAAATAATTGTGAAAACCAAAATGTTCTTCCTACTTTCAAGAAATAAAACTTCAAGTTTTCTCATTTTATTTTTATTTATTGTGTAGATGCTTGAAATTTATATTCAAACCTCAAAATTACGAGTATAATTGTAACAATTCACGACTGCGTTACACATTACGAAAATGTAAATGAACTTTTGTCCTCCACAGTTCTAAACAATTCGTAGATCACAATTCACCATTTAAAAAACGCAGTGTATTTCATGGATACCACACCTTTCAGCAATCAGTACCATTTCATGAATACAAAAAAAAGAACTCTGTAAAAGACCAACCGGCCACTGCTTGCATTCGACATTTTCAACTAGTTTTACATTCCATGAAAAATCTTTTTTCTGTAATCCTTTACAACAGTGGACACGTAAAGCAGAGACTCCCAGGTCACCGATAACTGTAACTTCGGTTGCCACTTGCAGGAAAAGCATGGCGCCTCCGACCAGGCCGAAACTCTGACGTTGTCCCATCGTCTTTCTCACTGCTGCCTTCGGCTGCTTTTTTACCCCTAACTAATTCCCTCAAGTCCGGCTTCTTTCTACCGACAACCCCTTCCGATTCTTTAGCAGTCCCAGGCCAGTGTCGCTCAAACTTCAATAGCTTTTCGGCTGCAGCAGCATAGTCAAATGGCTTCACATCGGGTAGACCACTTGGTTCCATAGACCCCGAGTTTGGATCTCCGCTCCTCTTCTTATCTTTAGACTGGAAGCACTTCACGAAGCTTGAAGACAGATCAGATACAGAAACAGTTTGATCAGCTTCATCGTCTCCTTGTGGAGGAGACTCCGGTGATTCCTTCTTCGCTCTGATATTATCCTCTGATTCATCAATCTCCAGTTCTGAATCAGTCTCCAATCCTCGATCATTAGACTCTGAATCAAACATTATTATCTCACTAGCCGGGGCAGCATCTGCTGGTTCTTCAGGCTGTGAAACACGTGCAGCCTCTTTTTTCACTTCTGGTTTTGATGGCTGCTCATCGTCTCTTCCAGCAAATGAATGAAAAGGAAGGCTAACCATGGATTTAATCTTTTCCAGCTTCGTGTCTTTCTTATCCTGAAATGTCCACAACAGTCAAACTAATCAAAATCAGGAAATGTCATCATTTAGATTAGCTTCGGTAACTTCGCCTAAGATACAATAATTTCAACATGGATGGGAATTCACGCTAAACCCACCCTATTATCGGTATCTGCTCGCCTCTTCAATGAAGCATTCCCGAGCATTGCTCCAAAGATGCCTCCTGTCTTCTTTTGCACCTGAACTGTAGCACCTGAAACCTGTTTCAGGGGAAAATGAGCACCATATCAGTCGTCAAACTCACCAAGTACTGCTCTACAAGGAAACTGCAATCGACAAATATCTGGGGACCTTTGTACTAGGAGACATATCAGACAATGAATCCGAGCCTTTTGAGACAACTACTGCTCTTTGATTCGTTGATTGAGGAACCCTTGTTGGCGTCTCAACACCGAGTTTCCCATTTTCACTGATAACATGCGCCAAAGGCTTCTTCTCAGTCTTTGGAGGGCTGACTGCTGGCAATGAACTTGAGCCAGCATGTTTTGCATTGGCACCATGATTCTTTTGTGCTCTGACATTTGGAGTTTCTGAGGGAGTGGCGGCAGTTTGCAAATCCTGAACTTCTGAACCATCATTTGTTTCACCATTATCCCGTGAGGCCTTCCAAGAAACATTGTTTGATTAAATAGAATTGCACTGCTGAAGTAAATTAAAATCCAGACAGTTGTTCATATCCAACTTTCGAGACAGCAAGATTTTGCTCCCGTCCAACCTTGTGATACAAAGGACGAAGATTGGGAAGAACTATGCGGGTGATTCTTTTGGCTAAGTAATTAAAAGAAAGGTTAACTTGAGAGCTAAAACAAACGTACTTACTATTAAATCTAAAATTATAAAACGTCACTTTAAACCATACGAACCTACTAAAATTTTAAAAGACCAACCAATAAAGTTCCACACCAATTTTGCCCCTTAATAATAAAAATATATATATATATATATATATATGTTCACAGAGTCGTTTTCCAAAACAAACTCAATTCTTTATTATTGGACAAAGCATCCATCACCTCAAACTATGCATTACTAACAGAATATCTTGTATCCCATCATCTCATCTTTTTCCAAAACCAACTGAAAACACTATTTCAACACACAATATATCTTCGCTTCTACTAAACCTAAAACGCTATAGCCATAACAGAAATGCAGTAGCAATCACAAAGCTTCTTTACAACGTGAAATTCGTAGAACACCTTTGTAAAGCTGCCCAGTTAGAGAGAAAAGTAACTCTTACCATTTCCAAGGCCAATTCCTTTAGTTGCTGAGCGGCAGCTTCAAATGCAGCAGCATTTTCCAATTGATGCCTAACGACTTGTACAACAGAGCTGAGGTGACGCTCAATATACTGGTGCTTCAATTTTAGTACACGGCGCAACTTGCCAGTTGATACAGGCATCTGCTTGGCTTTTCCATTTTCCAAAGATGAAAACCTTTACAAGTCAATAATTGCCATAGAATAAAACCACAAAACAGAATAGAAAACGTTAAACTTGTAAGAACAGAGTATTCATACCGATCTCAAGTAGAACTTTGTTTGGTAATATATAACCCGTACTCTCATCTTCAGTGCGGGCCACGACATCTCTCCATTCATACAGGCCCTACAAAACAATTTATGTAGATCACATGAGTCTAGTGAATAAATATCATGTACAAGATAATAGTAGAGTTGACCTGTTGCACCAACTGCATGCATTAAGAAACCAATATAATTTGTGAAGCAATTTTCTGTCGGTCATAAAACCCCAAACAGGAAAGTGACTTCAACATACTAGGTCTTGCATGGGACAATGGTATCTCTTGGTCATAAAAAGAAAATTAATCCAACTTTTCATAAGCAGTAGACTAGTGAGAAAATTAACTCTATGGTATGGTGAGAAACAACTTACTGCAACAATGGCAAGCTGATGGGCACTGAAGTTGGCACTTGGCAAGCTATTCCGTGAAACCAAGGATGTGGAGTTATTAGTTTCCAATCATGACAAGACAAAATACAGCAGTAAGCAAGAAACAATGGCAGTTCACTTTAAACTGGGCAATATAAGAATGCTCCAAACTCCAGACTCCAGTAAATAACTTTGAGATGAAATGGAGCATACCCATACATATGCAGATACGAATCCTCTGCTAAAAGCTCTTTTTCATACAACTGCATACAAACATCATTACTTCGCTTGTACACCTGTTAGTGATAAACAGCGAAAAGTCATTCAAACAGTGGCAACGAAGCCTATTTAAACAAGCTACAGAATCTGCAAGAAAGCACTTCATTTTGAAACCAAACCAAACACAAATATAAATATGGCAAGTGATGTGACAGAATATAGTGACATAGCAAGGCTGCCAGACATTGCTCAAAAGATGCTAGACATATTCTCATTGGAGATCAAAACTAAGCTACAGATATTACAGGTGACAAAGAAAAGACTACTAGTATAGGCCCTTCCATCCAGCAACAAAGAAAACATATTATCATGATGTAAAATAAAAATTCCACAACCCAGATCCAAGGTTACAAATCCAAAGCAAAGGCGACGCATCACATCTATGTCATAAGCCCATGCTCGGCAGATATACAAAAGAAGCTACAAAAAGAGGCCCTTGGTACAATTCCCGGAATCAAAAGGAAAATCACTGTACCTCCACCAATGGAGTATCAGAACTTTCAGGTTCTTTGGGCATTGAATGCAACAAGCATCTCATCTGATCATAAATGTATAACAGATAATGGGTATCTTCTCTAGCATATCTGTCATCAAGACGCAGCAACAAAATTGTAGTGTGTTAAGTAAGCATAATAGAAACACGAAAAGGAAGTAATAGAGTTTGCATCAGTATCACTATACATAAATATATTCACCTAATCATCTCACTAGGAAGAGGACGCAATCTCCAATCTGCATTCTGGTATCTGCAAGCGACAAGCAGGTCAACATTGCACATAACAGGAAGTGGGTATTGCTGTATGCTGGAAGAAGACAACCTCATCCTCTATTTATTCAAGACAAGATATGACCAATAAGAAAGAGGAGTTAAGTCATCTCGTAAAGACCTACTCTTTGTTGGCAACAACTCCACAAAAGTGATGCAAAAGATATTCCAAACTATTCCTTTCCAGTTTCAGTACTCTTGAGGCCTGGCAAGTAAGAAAAATAAACAGAGTACGAGATAATACCTCAGATTGATGATATTAATATCATGGATTGACGAGTAAAAGGCATAACAATAAGGCACCAAGTGACGTAATCCATAATTAGCAAAGGCCAGGATATTTATATTTGCAAGCAGAGCCTGACTTATAATACCATGCATATTCCAAACTCAAATCATCAATAAGTGATAGAAGGTCAGCTACATGACTTATTGAGAAATAAAAGAGCTTCTGGATGAAATAATGCTATTGTCAACATAGAAAAACCAGCAAATCACAGCATAAAGTATAAAAGATCCTTTCAGTAAAAACAGAGGCGAAGCAAATAAGTAAGAGGTACCAACCTGCCCCGTGTCAAACATATTGCATATATATATTCCAAAGTCCCTCTGAAGCCACAAAATGTCTTGATTGGCACCATGCAAGACCTAAATTAGATTTAGCACCAGCCACATAAGGAATCAAGTCATGCAGCAGGGATGTCATGGAACAAAGAAATATTAGTTTGTGAGACATACCTTTTTCTTGGTTGGGTCCTTGAAAATTTCCCTAAGATGAGGACCAATATGTATTCGAAGCTTTAAAGTGTCTACAATGAAATCCTCAGTTCTTGTAGAAATTTGCATCAAGCATGTCAATCCTTGAAAAGAACGATATTGATTATGCTCCAGATCAACCTGCACATCATAGTAAGAAACAGTTGCATAAATCGAACGAGAAAGACATAAAACCATACCAGATGCATCAAGCATGTCAATCCTTGAGGAGGGACAAAGAATATTAAAGAAAAAACACATTAGAAGGTGAACAGACATGTATCTAAATCAATGGATGAAATATGAATCATGCTAAGCCACCACTTAAGAAAAATAAATTGTCCCTAGTGAAAGTTTTGGGAAACAGACCACACCCACTCCATATGGAAACAATCATATCAAACAGTAAAGTAACCCTGATAAAAGCGAAAAAAAACATCAATAAGCATCCCAAGTGAAAAAACAGTTAACACCTACTATGTAAGAAAACTTTATATCGAGCAGTAAATTAACCCTGGTAAAAGACACCAAGCATCGATAAACATCTAAACATTGCAGACACTGCTAAGATTTAGATGTTAAAGCAATCACTTTATTCCAAACCAGATGAAAGAAGCATGGAATAAATGTACAAGCAATATTCGATTATCCAAAGACAGTCGAGAAACAGCATACTTGACATGTAAAAGCACTTATTTACCACATTGCTATTTGACAACAACAACTTTATCCAGATATGCACACCCTAACCACTTGTGATCTTCACAATGAACATGATAGTAATACACAGAACAAGGATACCAACCACCATCTGATCACACGTACGTTTCCAACATAGCAAAGCATTAACGATTGGCAATTATGTAAAGGACTATATTTGTTAAATCAATCAACCGGTCAGCAAGAGAGAAAAAAACAGAAGATAGTGAAGTCATCAAACACCAAAAGTATTTACCGCAAATTCATCTACAGCACGCAATTTCGCTGCCAGCTCCTTTAAATCCTTGACATCCTCCACAAGCTTGAATGGGGTACTCTCTACAGCAGGTGGCACTGACGGCTCAATTCTGCCAGCATCTTTGTCCACAAAATCCAAAACAGAAAGCTTTTCCTGCACACAAGGAATTATAAATACTAATAAATCTATCTGTAAGCACCAGAGGTGAACAAAGATTCCACGAGTATGCATTGTATAAGTAGAACGCTTTAAAGTTAAAACGACAATCCTCACGATACACAGCTAAAAAGAACTACATCGGAACAGAAAAACTGGCAAGTGGCGACCGAATCCTATTGAATTATGCATGCATCAGGACCTTTTGTCAACAGCTTTTCAACAAGAAACTCGAGTATCAGTATGACACTAATCATTATTAGCGTCCATATAGCATAATCCATGTGATCCAGCAGCTCATGCAACGGTGACGCATACAAGCCTAGACCACCACGGTTCTTGTATCAACCAGCAGAATGGCAAAAGAAACAAAAGTCTGACAACTGAAAACAGCATACCAGGGGATGAACGAACCGCGATCCATCGTCACTCCTTTCCAGCCAAACATGCTCAAATGGCTGATTGGAATTGTTTACTAATATGTTATGCTCCTCCTGCGGCCTTCTTATCGACGGAATATGGAACGGGATCTTGGCTTTCCCACCTGCATTCCCTTTCTTATCAGCAACCTTCACTGCCAAGTCACCGGCGTAATTACTGACCGAGCTACCAGCCAATCCACTCTGTGGATTGATCCAAACGTTCTTCTTCTTCTTCTTCTTCCCATAGACGGTCTGGAAGCCATCGCTGTCCATAACAGAGTTGTTCCGAGCAGCATTTTCCTCCTGGCTCTTGCGCAATACCTCGAACTCATCGGCGGAAGAGTCAAAGCGCTCGAATATCTCGTCGTTCACGTTAACCAACCAATCGGAGGCCTCTTCGCAGTCGATATCGGCGTCGCCGGGGAATTCAATCTCTTCCTTGGTGACAGCACCGGAGGAGCCTATTGATTGGAGGAGTGACTGCGATTTGGAGGCGATTCGCTTCACGGGGGACTTGAAATCGTCGAAGTTGTAGAAGAAATGGAAGTCCTTGTTGAAAGGGATGGTGCGGGAGGACGCGGCGAGGCTGGAAAGTGAAGAAGAAAGAGGCCCCGCGGTAAGGGTGCGCAGGGTCTGGGATTGGGAGGGAGCTTGCGAGGATTGATCAATGTCCATGGCGTCTTGGCTCATGGCACAGCCAATTGGAAAACGAGAGGGAAAGAAAGAAGGCAGAGGTTGGGGAGGAAGGGTTTACGTTAGGGTTAGGGTTTTAGAAGAGAAGCTGCCACGCAGAGGAAGAAGAAGGCAGACGAGAGCCATTTTGCTTCCTTTCCCCTTTTCCCGTTTTCTTTTTGGGTTAATATTTTCGTATGGCCTGAAATTTGACCAAAATAAACATCCTGGCCAATCTTTTCGATCTATAACATCCTGGCCCGAACTATACACCAAAATAAACAATTTGACCGGATTCGACTTTTGACCGTTAACTTGGACGGCCAAACGCGTTGACCGTTAGTCAACGTGCCATGTCACTGCCAAGTCAGCATAAAATATTTAAAATAATTCACAATTCCACACATTCCCTAATTGTAAATTATTATAAATTAAAAAAAATCATCTAATACCTTAGTTAAACCAAAAATAAAAAACAAAAAAATTAAATATTTATCAGATCTTCTGACTTGGCAGTGAAGTGGCGCATTGACCGTTAGTCAACGCGTTTGACCGTCCAAGTTAACGGTCAAACATCGGGTTTGGCCAAATTGTTTATTTTGGTGTATAGTTCGGGCCAGGATGTTATAGATCGAAAAGATTGACCATGATGTTTATTTTGGTCAAAGTTCAGGCCATACGAAAATATTAACCCTTTCTTTTTCGCATTTTAAATACCAATATCATGAAATTCAGCTTCTGATTTTATATTTCCTTAGCATTTTTAATTAAAATACTAGCTTTTACCCGACCCGTTGGTCGAATGAATTTCGTTTTATTTTTTATTAGTGTTTAATCAATTCTTTCATATCTTCAAAGGATTTAGGATTTATAAATAATTTATTGATAATTTGAAAATATTGTTGTGCTAGGGGTGGAAGTTTGGTTTGTGGATTGCGGGTAACCTACAAACCGAACCGCACACTTTGTGGATACCCATACCCACAATTTGTGGATAGTGGGTTGGGTGTGGGTAGCAAAATATTAATTTTTGTGGTTAGTGGTTAGTGGTTAACCACTACCCACAACGGTTTATCCACAAAACCCACATTAACCACATTAGTTATATTAGTTTGTGAAATTTGGAAGACTAAGAATTAAGGTAGCTACTAAAATCAAATACGTATTTATTCTATAAAACAAAACCAAGTCAATACGCAATGTTCGTGTGAGATACTTTTATCAAATAAGCATTGTCCGTGTGGTATATGTTTATTTTATAAAAAAACCAAGTCCATAGATATAGTCATATAAATTAATCGATTAGTTAGAAGAGGTGAATAATCGATAAAGGTTAGTTCGATACCCAAACTCGTCTCCATTTCTCCACGAACTCATGAACAACACAACATGCAACTAGCTACCAACAATACAAGACTATAATCGAGAGTGGAGAATAATCGATTCATTAAAAGAGGGTGACTCCACTTATCAAGCCACTTTTGTGTTTTGTTGTTGTTGCCAACGAAGGAGCCGTAACATGCAACGATGTTTGTCTGGTAACATGCAACTAGCTACCAACAACATGCAACTAGCTACCAACAATACAAGACTATAATCAAGAGTGGAGAATAATTGATTCATTAAAAGAGGATGACTCCACTTATCAAGCCACTTTTGTGTATTGTTGTTGTTGTCATCGAAGGAGCCGTAACATGCAACGATGTTTGTCTGGTAACAAGTCACTCCACCTCTCCGTTATCTTCAAAACTCTTTCCAAATCCATCGCTTCTCAATTTACACTAACCTCTTGTATTCAAGATTTATAATTTATTTAACACTTTATTAATGTGAGAAGAAACACAACTCCACTATTTAATTACCATATTATTTTATTTAATGATGAAATTTTTGTGGATATCCACAACCAACCCGCACCAACCCGTAGCGGATAGTGGTTAACCACTACCCAGCGCGGGACGGATTGTGAGTAGCATAATTCTATATTTGTGGGTGTGGTTAACCACAAAATATGGGGCGGGTAACCACAACCACCTCAATTTCCACCCCTAGTTTCACTACGGGAAAAATGCCTTCTTGCAACACTCGGATTGCAACACTACTTGAAAGTGTTGCGTTAAATATGTTACGGCAACACATTTTTTTGAAGTTGCGTATTGGATAGTTTACGCAACTCAATTTAATTATATGTTGCAATTATTCTCTTAACACAACACATATGTTAAAAATAAATTTACTGTTGCCTAATTCAATAAGTTATGCAACACTTATTAAAATTTTATTGCAAAAACATATAATTATATTACCGTTTGATGTATAATAACAATTTAAATATAAACAATTTCAAAGGTACATCCAAATCAGAAAAGCAAAGGAAAAGTAAACAGCAAAAAACCCAACTTGGACCCAAATACAGAAAAGAAAAGGAAAAGCAAACAAAAACCCACCCAACTTTACCAAACAAATTACCCAACTCTATCGCACTTCTCCGTAGTTTGTACTTCTGCCCTCACAAAAAAGATTCCCCTGTGTTTATCTGCTGCAAAATCGACGAGCAGCAGAGGTCCGCCCAGCAACTAGGAATCAGAGTCCATCAATCCTCCTCTGAAGGTCATATCCCCTAGAACAACGATACAAATTTCGTTAACCACCCCACCATCAAGAATCATCCTCAAATTCCTGTTCGACCGTCGACCGCGGTGGGTTCTCCTTTCTCTACCCGACGCCGACAGAACAACTTTTCCCCACCCACCGTCAAGCATCATCCTCTGTCTTTCCTCGATCTGATCCTCAACGGCAGCGTGTTACGGTGGGTTCTCCTTTCTCCTTCCCCTGCTCTTCTGTAGCGGTCATAATTTCTTTTTAAAACTACATTACTTTTGTTTGGCTCACAGAAATCAATTACTACTGGAAATAATTACCACTGGAAACAAGAATACGAAGAACAAACGATTGCGCCCAGAAATCAGGTTACTACTCAAACGAATAAGCAAAATAACCATACTGATATGTCTACTGGCGGAAATCAGAACTCAAAAGTTATATTGAAGAGCTTCGAATGATTGGTGTATTAAGTAGTCTGCGTTTCGCCTCCCTGACAAACTGATATGCAACACGAAAAGCTGCTGCTCTTTCTTACTAGCTCTCTACCTTGCACAAACCTCACAAACTAGCTCTATTTCTAGTTGCTTCAACCGCTTTATTTCAATCGGTGGCAGTAATAGAGATTATCACTTTGCTGCAGCCAAGTTTGTTTCCATGTATTAATTACAAGCTTACCTTTTATTGATTAGAGCTCCTGCATTTTCCATATGCTTCACGTGCCAAGTTTCTAGAAATGCCCAGAATTGCAGATTAACTTTGACTATATATGTTGTATGATCAAGCAAACGTGTGCTAGTTTAATCTTTTTGTTGCATCAGTTGAAAGATCAATAACTTGTGTATTTGCTGTTTCAATCAAATAAGCAATGCAGCTGGCAGAATCGGGTATGTGTACCTCTGGTTTATAGCATTGCTGGGAATTAATTCAAGGCTAGTAATTCAAGCTAGGCTATCATCCAGTCTCAGTACCACATATTAAACCACACAAAGCTTAATTGTAAAGAATGTTGCTTTTGATTGTGTTCACTGGTAATTTTATATTGATTTTCTACTGAAATTCCAGCTTTCCTCTTTGTACTTATATTTTTCTGGCCTTAATGTATATATTTACTAATTCAGGTCATTCATTTTGCAGTTTATTCTTGGAAATGGACAAAAGTTGGTTGTCGAAAGCACGAGTGAGTACCGCCTATCGTAATGGGGTAGAGAGTTTTCTGAACTTTGCATTTGCTAAATCGGCCGAGGGAAATGAGATTTTGTGTCCCTGTGTGAAGTGCAAGAATATGTTTTGGCAAACCAGAAATGTCGTCAATGAACACCTGATTTGTCATGGATTTGTGAAGAAGTACTCTATTTGGACTTTTCACGGAGAGAAGGAAGTTGAAGATAGTGACAATGATGATATGGTAGAAGATGATGATATGTATGGTCTATTAAGTGACCTTGCAACTAGTGTCGGTGGAGAGCCTGATGGACAGACGAAACACTTTTTCACTCTATTAGAAGTCGCTGATAAAGAATTGTATCCGGGCTATGAAAAGTTTTCGAAGCTATCATTCACCATTCAAATATATCTTCTAAAGTGCCTCAATGGATGGAGTAACTCCTCTTTTGATTCTCTACTTTCTTTGCTGACCGAGGCTTTTCCTGATGCTGAGATTCCCAAATCATTTGTTAAAATGAAAACAATGATTAAGGGTTAGGGTTGAACTACAAGAGGATTGATGCTTGTCCAAAAGATTGTATGCTATATTATGGTGATGATGATAGTAAGCTGAAGAGTTGCAGAAAATGTGGCCAGTCTAGATACAAGTTCCCCCCTAAGGATGATGGGAATTGTGGTGAAGATGATAATGTTTCCGGGAAACGAGTTGCTGCCAAGATTTTCCGCTACTTTCCTTTGATACCAAGACTCCAAAGGTTGTTCATGTCTTCGAAAACAGCCACATACATGAGATGGCACGAGGAAAAGCGAATCAAAGATGAGAATCTTAGGCATCCTGCAGATGGTCAAGCATGGAAAGATTTTGATGACTTGCATCCGGACTTTGCAGCTGATTGTAGAAATGTTCGGATTGCCATTGCTTCTGATGGTTTCAATCCGTTCAGGACTATGACAAGTAATCATAGCACATGGCCCGTGGTAGTCGCAATCTACAACTTGCCACCCTGGATGTGTATGAAACCAGAGTATTTGGTGCTGTCTTCGATTATCCCAGGGCCAAAATCACCAGGGAATGATATTGATGTCTATTTAGGACCTTTTGTGGATGAACTGAAGAAGCTATGGAGTGAGGGAGTAATTACTTATGATGCTCATAGCAAGCAAATGTTTAATATGCGTGCTTGTTTGATGTGGACCATTAGTGACTTTCCGGGATATGCCATGTTGTCTGGTTGGAGTACAAAAGGATA